CCCCAAAACCCCAAAACCCCAAAACCCCTTTAGGTATTTTAGCTAAAATTAATTAATTTTATTCGGTAATATTAAGAAATGAACGACCCAGATGACTTTTTTGTACCTTATGTGTGCGAGAGAGATAAGCTTGGAAAGCTATATTCACGAAGAAGGTAATTTATTGGGGTTTTATTGGTGTAGTTTTGTACAAGGAGATAGGAAACATCAAAGGACTAAGGTGAGGCATTGGGTCAGAAGGGGATCTATCTAAAATTGCCAACCTTTACTCAGATTCGTCTCCGAGTGTCTTAAAATCTCTTGGGCCTAGCTAAAGAATGCTCAAATTCAATTTAAACACAGATTGATTCTCTAAAATTTTAGACTTACAAGAAACTGAAGCAGAGTCAACCACTGAGCACTAAAGGTTCTTTAAGAGAGTTGACAAAGGACTTGCCAAATTGTGTGGTCCCAAAACAAATGGCTCCTAAACAAGATGTGCATATAACATTTGACGAGAGGGCTCTTCCGACACCAGTTTCAGGGAGCAACTCTCCCATAAGCTCTTCTCTGAGGAGGACAGTTGGCAGTAACAGGAATAGGAAGAAGTTAAAGCCGATCGTGATAAAATAAAATGATCCCGCACATCCCATCTGACCTGAAGGAGGTCTACCAGACCTTCCGGGATTCGAATCGAAGCAGTCTGCTTAAGTACATCAATGCAGATACTAAAGTCAGGTTTGTGAACAAGTTCAAGGCCATGGACTCTCAGAAGTTGAAGATGAAGTATCCCAAGCTTAGGCATTTCATACCGTACAAAAGGAGTGGACAAAGAATCCTGAACATCAGTGCTGATTTTACCCAGCCCAAAGTTAAGGAGTTCCGGTTTGAGATGAAGACCCCGCAGCATGAGATAGGCTTTAAAGATGGTAAGCCCTTGCTGATGATTATAGGGAACCACTCTTTGGACTCTAATGAGCACGATTCGGCTCTGAGACACAAGTCTTTTATAAGTAGGGACTAGTTTAATACGGGTTTAGACTCTAAATTTTCCAATGTGCCTATATTCGATCTTCAGACTGAGAGACCTAACTTCGTGAAGCAGTTTGGTAAGAGTTATTCTAGCCACAGACAGACTAAGAAGAACAAGATTAATTTGGATAAGTAAGTCGCTTTACTTGAGCTCTAGGCTAAGATCATTCGCTGAGAGTGTCGCCAAGAGCAACTCTGATGTAATTCAGGAGATTAAGAGGCATAAGATTGGTAACTCTTCAGCTTATTTATCTCTGTAGCTTTTGTACACAAGAAGATCCTTGATGACGGCATTGGGCATTTTAGGAAGGACGTCAAGGTGCTTCATAACAAAGCTAAGCCAGTGATGTATGGGGTTAAGGAAGATGTGCTTGCTGAGTATACTAAGATGTTCTCATTGTAGCCATTTCAATCTTTAGGTATATCTAAGGGGTTTTGGGGTTTTGGGGTTTTGGGGTTTTGGGG